ATCTCTACCGGAGTAAAATGACACGAGACTGTTGTCTGGTTCTGGTTCCGTTATTGTCACGGTGTAAATATTCAAATCTGAAGAAGAAGATCAAGGCATATATTTGTAATAATTCTATTATACTCACAGACGCATTCGTAATATAAATACAATTTATCGATATACGGTGGATGAATACCAAAAGAAACACTGGCAAAAAAAATCTTCGCAAACTCGACGTCTGTATCTCCGCAGTTCATGGAGACAAGAAGAACAAAAACAGTATTATTGTATTATCTTTCTCAAAAGTTGCGCCCTCTAGCTATGAACTATTTTTGTGACGTAATATTGTCGAGTTAATTAACTAGACAACTATATTTGGTTATGTGGTATTCGTCATTTAAAATACATCAGAATACGGTTTATTGACTGGCGACAACGGATCAAATAAATGTCAGCGCTGTCAATGGCGCCCTTACACTTAACTACGTCACGGAAGCGCTTTTCGCTAGAGGGCTCGACGTATATAGGACAGATATATTATTTGTTCAGCTGTACATTTTCATTGGTTGTATTTTTGTCGAGTCAGAATATTCACTTTTAAATGTCTTAGTTTAGAACCATATTTAATATTTTATTCATTGCATTTTCATTTTTTTTTCGCTGAAGAAGAGAATTTGAAAATACAAAATGGCGAATTATTAGCAATTCTTACCACATGCTAGCAGAGCGAAGCAGATTTTCACAGGCAATAGAAGAATGACAAATAACAACTTCAGTGTATTTTCCATCTGAGAAACAAACATAAAAAGTGTTATCTATCTATCACCTGACACCTGGGTTGAAGCTACAATGGTAAGATATATCATAATGTGAATTACATATCGTTTATAAATTCTTTGTATTGCTAAGTACAAATGTAATTGTCCTCATAGAAGACTCATTGATACAATTCTGAAATGTCTTACTGCACGTAGTAACTTATATTGTTATTTTGTGGAGTTGTTTCAATACGAGGAAGGATACTTGTCACTGGATCACAAAGTAATCGTATTAATAACGGTGACGTCACAATGTTAATAATTCGGGTAAACTCACCTGTTAATTTATGAACAATCTTCTTCGTTTTTCTTGAAATGTAATATTTCTTAAATAAAATAAAGTAAAATAAGTGAAGAAAGTTTGACTGCGTTGCTGTAGATATTAGCTGTTTGCTTTGTTCCCGAGATCTGTGCTCTGTAACTGTTGTCTGGAGTTACCAAAACTTATGGCTCACAAATGACTTGGGAAGGCAATTTATAGACGAATTGTCGCCTATGTAATGGACCGGAAATGTGAATTGCAATGACAGTACAAGGATAGTCATAGGGGTGTGGAAGTCACTCATGTCACACGTGATGCTGTATGCAAATTAAATAATACCAAATATGGAAGAGAAAACAAAACAAAATCATCCCAATATGCTAATTCCTCGTGCATGACGTCATTTTCAAAATTAAGTGCATGTTACCGACATGAACTATTTTTGAGGTTGTGTTTATTTTTAAATGAACATGATGTGTCATCCATCAATACAAATATGGGTTACCCATGCAGGTGTTGTCGCGTTTAAACCAACAAATGAGATGCCAAGGTATCTATGTACAATTTAATGTCATACAACAATGGCTTATCAGAGGGATAGTTTTAATAACAATCCTTAAAATGATAACAATTTACCGTTACCGTTATTGCAAATTGAAATGAACCATTGGACACGTAACAGTTGAAAGTCAAGTTTTTCATAACTAAAATTCATCGCAGTAAAACGACGACGACATGTTACGTACATTCTACCCATTACATTTTGTGCGATGGGCTGAGGCCCTGTACTAAAAAATAATAATATAATAATAAATTGACTAATACTAAAATGAATAATTGTAGACAAATTTCGACATGAAATTGTTTCACTGCTATGTGTGCTAACATCTGCGAAGCGAAAAAAATCGTGAGTAGAATTCTATCTTAAAAAGCTTCAACAATAATGCTAAAATAGTACAATCTTGTTTTTTTGTTGTACAACAATTTGCCGTAGTATATCTAGGGTGAGCGTGGGTTTGTCTGTGGGTGGGGTGAGGCTTAGGATTCCCTTCTCTAAAATGGTAAAATAGTTCAAAAATGTTATGTGAAATAACTTAACAACCTAACACAAAGTAAGCCAATTGAATTTAAAACCGAAAATATAAAAATGTCTGTAACAGAGCTCTAAAATACTAAAGAATTCGCTTTTTTTTTTAAATTAAAAAAAAATCACACGATTCACATCAAATGTATTATTGTTGTTTTCGAACCCCCTATTCAAAAGTGCTGTAATTCTTGGGCAGTGTTGGGTTTATTGGTGTCTAAGGGACAACATCAAAAGTTCAATGTAGGTAAAAAAAAAACTTAATTCCTTTAGTTTTCCACCCCAACCCTCACTGAAACTTAATAATAAATATTGATCATGGCGTCAGACTACATTAACCATTAAATACAAATTGATAATCGGACAGTAGTATGGCATAGCAGTTGGTTGTAATAATGAAGCGGAATATACGCATGCGCAAACTACTTTTCAGGGTTCTGCATATGCTCTAGGTCCATGACCTGAAATTGACCTCATTTGACGCACATATTTACACTCGGACCAAACCATTTCCTCGCCTTGGATGTTTTTTTTTCCATTTTCTGATATTTTTGTCTATGATTGGATAGAAAAAAATCGAACTACAAATACTCCAAGTTGTTTTTGACTTCATTAAAAAACAAAATCGTTTTTGTAGGTTGGAAACTTTTTGAGATGAAAAACCCCGACCCCCAAACTAAAGCAAATAAGTTTTTTATCCGACATCGATCTTTTGAGGTCGTCCCTAAGTGCACTTGGAACTTGTGTACTTTAAATTGTTGTCACATTTTTGCCCCGATACGACCGTAGCCAGGGGTTTCCTTCGTTCCGCCCTTTCGACGCGGCAGGATACAATTCACACAGCCATCTCATCGATTGATAAGAAAGCGTGCAAAAATAATGCACGCCGGAGGCATCGCATATAATGTCAGACGTGACATGTCGACCGTTTTCACTTTCATTTGATTATTTCATAGTTGTAATTACACGTAATTCGAACACCTTTAAGAAAACTGCATGTACATGAATGCTGTTGAATGTACGCGCACTCGCAATGTTTGAATTTAACTGTTTTCAATGTGCATTACTTGTGTTATCAGCAAAATGAACATTTCGAACGTTACCTTTGACGTATGCGCGCACACTGCGCATTCGACGCGCATGCCGATCAACGGTGACATGGCAACGAATGTCGCGTTTGTGTCGTCACTGTGTAAACACAGGGGTACTATACGTTCGGAGCACCAAACAGTGCTGACGTGCTGTCTTTGCAGTGCCCGAAACCGACTGTTTACGCGCTCTCTACTTAGTATGGGGGCATGCCGATATCCTGTGTATTTTAATAACAACTTTTTGCATCAAACATGCATGTCTGTAAGTATATCCGTGTTCTGCATTTCCTATATTTTAAACCCAAACGACACTAAGTGCTCGGGAAATTCCTGGGAAATTATTGTGGTGGTTCGTTTTGGCAATGTGACTGACGTACGTAAAACAACAAATGAGTTGATAATCGGCTGACGACTCGTTTTCTGGCTGTTATTGATATTGCTCATAATGCAAAGTTTATATAGTGACATTTTATAAATAATTTCAGCAATTGTCGACATTGCTGCTGTTATAATTTCAATTAAATGAAACTTATTTTGATCCGTTCCATTACGATTATATTTGAATGCATGACTTGGACATGGATTTTTAAACAGTCTAAGAGTATATATTATTTACCAATTTGTTTCTACTAACCTTGTCCTTTAACGTTCCATACGAAATTATATAACAATTGTTCTAATTCTTTTATTATTTTTTGTGAAAGTGACGGCAAGGTTGAGAATAAATTAATGCACTTTGGCAATAATAGACTTTTGATGATTTTAGAATTTTAAGATTAAAAAAAAGTCATCGAGTACTTTAGAGACTGCTTTCAACGATCGTCCCATCAATGATGATGAATGTATCATCGGCATAATGTCCGAGTAAAAATTGTGAGCCTGAAAATATTACACCCTTAATTTGTAGATTCGATTTTATAGCCTGAGCTAACAATTCATCACAAATAATTAACAAATATAGGGACAATGGATCTTCTTGTCTAACACCCCGTTGCAAATTATTTTTATTGGAAACATTGCCAATGCTAATAACATAGCTATTTATATCTTTATAAAAGATGCGTACCAAAATTCTTATATTTTCTTGAAAGTCAAATTTGTGTTATTCCTTCATCCAGAAAAGCCCATTCCAACGAATCAAATGCATTTTCAAATTCGACTAACAATAATAACCCTGGGATATTATATTGTTTAGCATAATGCATTATATCATACAGGAGGCGAGTATTTTCACCTATATATCTATTGTTTACATACCGTACTTGGAATTCACTGATAATTTGGGGGAGAACCTCCAATTACGGTGACAAATGTATAATAATAGCGCCATAAGTTACAGCAATATTTTCATCCTAACATATTAGGAAACGTACGCGAATTCCAAATATGGAACGATTACGTGCGTAAGCGTCCTCTAATAATATAAACAAAAATGGCTTCCCCCGGGGTTTGACCGGACCCCACACAAAAAAGTTTGTTCTGTTCTAAACGTTCTTGATTTCAGCATTCCCATGATGTATTCCTGGTAGGAAAAGATGTATAATAATAAAGTTATTACGAGGATACTGCAAAGTCTGCACTCAGACAGTACGCGGTCGTACTGCGCTGTACGTGCATACTTTCCAGTATCCTCGTAATAACCTCATACTATTTTATAATAGTTCATACATACGAAAGGGGGTCATAGGATTCACGATATGTTATCGATCAATAAAATAATTACTTGTCTTTTATTAACTTTTATTATAAACTGTTTCTAATACGCACAGAATTCAAAAACCAGTCATGAACTTTGAAATACAAGAGTGAATTCAACGTAAAATGTGAGATACGCTACCACAAATAAATACACATATAAATAAAGTAAATCGATTCTCCTAATTTAGTGCCCTGACATATTCAATATCACAGAATTCCACAGATATTCACATTTGCAATTTAAATTACATCAAGCCGAGAATTCTTTTTTTGGCTAGTGTCCGTCGAAATCGGAGAAATGTTCTCTCTCTCTCCCTATCTTTCTTTGGCAATTGTCGAATTCAGGGCTAGATATAACACATCGGGTAACAGTGCCATATTGCGATTTGGTCGCTATCGTTGTTACCTTCATTTAATACCCAAGACCGCCTAACTTCTTCTTAAAGCCGAATTGCAGTATTGGGCCGGGAAGTTAAAGGGTCTTGACCAATAGCAAATAATCATAGATTGGAATAATATGACAAATAAGCCAATAGCACGTGTTTGTTCAGTGCTATCAAAATTATGCATTCGCAAATAAATACACATCGACGGGGCTACATTATACCTTCTAAAAATCCTTGTCGAGAAATGTGGTTAATGTCAAAGTTTTTTTTAACTAAAGTTCAAATACAAAAGAGAGAAAACCATGGTCAACTCAGTATATGACAAACCAAAGCAGTATTTATAAATCTTCCTGGCATAGTATATTAGTGTTCAATTCATAGTACATATCATCTACTGCTGTGAACGTAGAGGACGCAACGTGTGAAATGTCATCAACAAGTCAGGGAGAATGCTCAGTCGTTCTGCCGCAGGTAGCCTGTCTACGTCTATAGCGCCCACATGCGACACCCGCAAGAACGGATATATTCTCCTATCCAAATAATGACATAAGAACCGCTGTCAGGAGAAGTACGATACTGAACTTGACTGCACTACCTGTATAAAAAACAAATGATATGAGGTCAGTATTAGTTACGTAAACATATAACAACGTGTTTGCGTCAACGATTTGCACATCATCAGGTATGTATGGTGGCGCCATTACAAACACTAACGTTGGCGCCCTCTGGTGGTCTATAACCATCTTCAAACTCATTTGTTTCTTACCTGAACACGGTGAATTTCCGCCGTATCCGTCTTCTACGTCACCAAACGGAAGACAATAATGACTGTTTGTTAAATTGCCATCGATATATGCAGCAGCCTTCGGTGCTGATACAGTCATACAGATATACTGATACATGTAGCAGTCTTCACTCGGGAAAATGATGTCTGCTTTGAGTTCTCGTATCGTAATCGATTCAAATGACGGTATACCCACAGTCAGGTCGTACGCGTCTTTGACGTCGACGTCGTATTGGACGACGGTGGCGTTGTCGTCTTGCAAATCAGATGTATCGGAGATACTCGCAAAAAATGCGTAGTTCGACGTTCCGCTGGTCGCTTTGATTTCATCCCACCCAATGTTGTAAATTTCCATGTCAAAGGTCACACTGACTTCCTCTCCAATTTTGTAGATCAGATTGGAGTCAGGTTTCGTGATGTTCAGATCGGATGCGCGAAGATCTGATGAGCAAAAATAACGTGGTTAGTATTATTTAATGTTAATCACGGATTAAGCGCTGCAGTCGTCACGTGACATTATTTTATGGGTCCCATGTGATATATACAACGCGTGTAATATACATTGTTTGTTCACATGAAATCGATACGCGGGTCACGTGACAATCGCAGTA